AAACGGCAAGAAAAGTGATGATCACGTTTTTTCTTGCCGTTTATTACCGTTTCCTAATAGAACGGGTGATTATGACAGTTTAAACGGCATTTTCAGCGTTTCACTTCTTCCTGGGTACTATCAACAACAAAAAAAATCCTCTCCTAACTTTTGAAAATAATCATTCTGAAGCATCTATCGACGAAAAACACCAATACCAAACACAAATCTAATTCTCCTAAAATACATTTCCATGCATCAATCCACAACAGTACAACGAAATGAATATTCACAAGCAACCTGAGAACTTTCATGAAACCCACTGTAGAAAACTAAAATATTGCAAACTTACGTGCTACAAAATAGATAAACTAATTCAGTGCAGGCACTTCCATCAACTTCAAATCTTCACACATACACATATGCAGTGCTAAAAAACTACCTGAGGATTGACCCTTGAGTAAAGGTCGAAACTATAGTCGTAGTATTCTTTGAAATTAATACACACCGTATTGAATTTAAGAAATCTCTGCTTGCTTTACGTTTTTATATATTAAACGTCGGAAGTTCTTTTTACTTCTTAATTTCATTTATACAAAAGAATGCAGTGCTAAAAAACTACCTGAGGATTGACCCTTGAGTAAAGATCGAAACTATAGTCGTAGTATTCCTTGAAATTAATACACACCCACATCCACGCCCACACCCACACCCTAAATTGTACCCATTTCAATATTTCTACATTTCGTCAAAAAATTCGCTTTCATACGACAATGTAGAAGATATTTTAATTGATTCTCGAAATCGATTAAGATGTCTTAAGCCACCTGAAGAGATCCTTGAGCAAGGTCGAAACCGGTCGTGGTACGCTCTTCTGAATTGTATTAGTATTAAATAGATGATTTAAAAAATACAAGCGCTTTTCGGATACTCTATCACATAAGCTTATGTTGATTGGCTTCATTTTGTTTTTAGATAAATTTCAATTAATAGCCATTGTTTCCATAGGAGTACGATGACTGACAAGCGATACCCCAATGCTCAAGCGCATTGCTGGAGTCAACTTTCGGCTAGTCTAGTACGCACACCCCCCAACATCTTGCATCCTCCGTCCAAACAGCAACCACAAATAGTGACGACGAAGCAAAAAAATAAGAAAAGTCGTGGTGATCGAGCAGAACAACATTTTCAACGAAGATTGCGTCAACGAAACTTGGATGAAGAAACCAGGGCATTATTAATGCAAGCAAGAGTTGAAAGAAAACGTGAACAACAACAACAAGAAACTGTGCTTGAAACTGCAATGGAAGTAAACGAAATTGGTAATCAAATGATCAACATGGCACAGGATAAACAAATGGTGGTAAGAACATTTATCAGAAGATAAAAACTAATTATATCAATGATTTCTTTTGTTTTCTAATGATCAGGAAATTCCATCAAATGACATCATTCCTCAGTCTAATTCAAAGAAGCGTAAACGCAATGTACCGACTAAAATTGACAGACATTTAAGTAAATCATTGAGTCGATTATCGATTGCACAAGGATGTTCCAAGAAGACGAAGAAAAATGTTGCATCAAATAATGTTTTAACAAAAATGATCCATGAACTGAATGGTCAGCCAAAAATATCAACAAAAAATTTAAAGTCTACTTTCGTACCTCAATATTTGACAGTATCCAATCGGAAATTTAAAGAAATGTTATCAAAAGTAGTTCACGATGGCCATCAAATTTATGAGTGGCTAGACAGTGATCAAAAGTTAAAATCCACACGTGAATTAGCTCATATCTTTAACTTGATGAATTATTTAACATTACAACAACAACTATGGCAAGATTATTTTGATATCGGTATGAACGATGGTGTTTGGGCTCCACGAGTATCGAAGTCAAAAGCTAAAGAACATAATACATGTGTATCATATGGTCGATCAGAGAAATTTGTTGAACAACGTCAAAAAACAATTCAACATCAATTGAATCGCACTGATCACCAATTACAACAACATCTCACTCAATTACCAGAATGGACAGAAAAAGTTCAACCTTCCATTGATTCAACATTTCTCTCAAATGCCATTCAAGCAATGGTAAAAAATGGTCTCTATCGCTTAAATGCTCAATTCAAACATAAACAAGCCATGTTAAAATTCGATGCTGATGATCATCGCTTGATTGCGGCCGTCTATGACTTGAAACCAACTGAAGAACAGGTCGGTGTCTATAGCATAGATTCATTATCTTCAATCGAAATTAATGAAATTGATTGTTTGACATTTCAGGTTGCGCTCCTAAAAATATATTGGCAAGCCGTTGCAGATGAACAGAAAGCACTCGCGGAACTGGAGGTACTTCGAAAACGAGTGTCATTAAGACAACTTCCTAAATCATTTGATAAAATTCTTAATCAATCCATTGCGTCTATTCAAACAATGCTCTCACGTCCTATTCTTAATAAAGATCGACGTGCTAGTATGGCATCACGTTATTCAAAAACAATTACACAATATAAATTTGATATGATGGCTATGACCATTGCTATAGCTCAAGATACGGCTCGTGGTCACGCTCAATTGGCAGTCGATACGAAAAATAAATTACGACTACTCGACGGTGATCAAATACGATCTTCTACTGAATTACTCATCAACTCCATGGAAACTCGTGCAGAAAATATGAAAAAACGTGCACAAGAATTACTTCAATATAAATTGATGTCTTTTTTTCGAGCAGGCTCCGTCGGTGGACAACGACAAAGGCAACGCATCCGCCGGAGCAATCTAAGCATTTATACAAACATCACTGCCTCATCACCTTTCATCGAAACTGATTTAAATCTATCGCTAATACAAATGTCCATGCTTATCAAAGGTCTTAAATATATTCCACCATGTCAAAGTCGATTCTCACGTCAATCTATTGATGCTATTGTCAATGAACAATACAAGACGTTACGTACCATTGTCCAAGGTTGTCTTGATGATCATCGCATGCAACTTGTCGAACCACGTGAAAAAGAAGGCTTTCCATCCTTGAAACGAATCCTCTATGAACTTCAATCCAAAAAATTACCATGTAAGCTAGAAATTCGTGCTCGACGTGAACGCAAAGTAGTACAAAGTATTATAAACATTTTACGTCAACGCCCCGACATTACTGTTCGTCGAACTGACAAAAGCAAAGTATTTTATGTAGGTAATGCTACAGTTTTTGCCGAGAAAGCATCAAAATATATGATCGAAACAAAAGCTTATCAGGAGATCTCGAACGAACATTGTATTTTATCGGAAAGTCATCACTTGGTTACTACTCTTCTAGTTTCTCTTTTAAAAAAGGGTGCTATTAATCAAGAGCAACATAAGAACATGTCTCCAAAAACAGATACATTAGAATTGGCACATCTTCATTTTATCCCAAAACCACATAAAGTAAGTTGCTTATTGTATCATTACAATTTGGACGATACACATATTATCGTCGCCTTTCAATTCATTTTTATCTGTATTGTTTCATAGCCTGATACACCATTACGACCAATTGTAGCAGCTATTCATGCACCAGCAACAGAAGTGTCCAAATTTCTTAATGATCTATTAGCCCCTGTATTTCTACGTGTTGCACGAAAGACCACTTTTATTAACGGTATTGATCTTGTTCGAACATTAGAAAAATATGTTGCCGATGGTCATTTAAAACCAACGACCTTGTTTATCACTTTTGATGTTGAAAATCTGTATACAATGATCCCACGGCAAGGTGCTTTAGAGGCATTAATGCAATTTCTCGAACGACATTTACACAATAAGAAAATTGGAACATTGCGCATTGATGATATTATGAGAATGGCTCGTCTCGTATTGGATACAAATATTTTTGCCTATGAAAATAAATATTATCGACAAATACGTGGTGGAGCTATGGGATCCGCCTTTACACAAACATTAGCCAATATTTATATGTTAGATTGGGAACAAAAATTAATACAAAATCAAGAAGCAGACAAAGAAATCTACGGACGGTTAGTTGAAAATCTTCGCATGATATTTAATACCATTAATGATGTTCCTATTGTTGTCTTTAGATATAAAGGGTGTCCCAGAAGTTCTGAAACGATTTTAAGAATTCACCGTTCTCGCATTCTACAAAAGCAAATTCGCTGAAACTTTGGTAGATTGTTGTACATATGTGGCACTACATAACTGCAAAATTTGAGATCTATACGTTGTACTGTGGATGAGAAACTGTAACAACACTAAAATGTACTATTTTTTAAATTTTCCTGTATTCTGGGTCTGTCAAAATGTGTATATCTCGGCTTAGGTAGATGATAAAATCTTGAATTTTTTTTATAAGATGCGCCGTGAAAAGCTCTACAAAAATTGTAATAAAAAATCCCTATTGACTTGTGTTCATACTCAAAATGAAAAATTTACATGATAGTACGACTTCTCACCATACTGTGCGTAATAAAAAAAGGTTTGCAAGACCTTTTTGTTTTGCATGTATCTCAGCTTGAGAAAATGATAAAACTTTGATTTTTTTTCAAAATATGCGCCGTCGAAAGCTCTACAAAAGCTGTATAAACAAATTCCTATTGGAAAACAAAAAAGTCTTCCAAACCTTTTTTATTATGGTGAGAAGTCGTACTATCATGTAGCTTTTTCATTTTGAGTAGGGCAAAGACCATTAACAAAAGTCAATAGGGATTTGTTATTACAATTTTTGTAGAGCTTTTCACGGTACATTTTTTAGAAATAAAATCAAGATTTTATCATCTACCTACCCCGAGATATAGACGAAATAAAAAAATGTGTTGCCCACCCCGAAGATGACCAAGAAAATTTAAAAAATAGTACATGTCAGTGTTGTTACAGTTTCTCATCCGCAGTACAACGTATAGATCTCAAATTTTGCAGTTATGTAGTGCCACATATGTACAACAATCTACCAAAGTTTCAGCGAATTTGCTTTTGTAGAATGCGAGAACGATGAATTCTAAAAATTGTTTCAGGACTTCTGGGACACCCTTTATTGATGATGTATTCATGACAACAAACCTAACATTCGATCAAGTTAAAGAAAGATTAGAAAATGCTCATAGAAAAGATACAAATATTCGAATTTCATATTCCATTCAATCTACCATCGACTTTCTCGATGTCACAGTCAGCAATGATAATGATCAATTGAAAACAACAATCTTTCATAAACCAGCCGCTGAACCCTATATACTACCTTACACATCCGACCATCCACGACATGTTTATCATAATATACCATACGCTGCTCTATTGAGAGCGGCAAGAATCTGCTCGAATGTTGAAGATTTTGACATAGAATGCATTCGAATTGATCTATCGATATTACTAAACGAGTATCCACCTTCATTTGTTTCTAAACATTTTCACCGATTCTTCCAAATCAACCAGGCTATGCCCGTACTAGAAAGGCTCGATTCAGACGTGTACCACGAAATACATCAAAACTTACTTCATAAACCAACAAGAAAAGAAAAACAACTACAAGAGACAATCGAAGATCTTGATGCCTTACCTGAACCATTACAGAAAAAAATGCCTTGGGATTCGAATGTTATGTATGCAAAATATAACTTCGAAAGCGGACCAAGATTAGCCTTTCAACCAGAATTCCGTACTTGGTGGAAACAACATTTCGGACATACAGGTTCTAGTGTCGAACGTGTCCAATTAAAGTTTGCCGTCAGAACTAATCATACTCTCGAAGATATGTTTGTGCACAAGAAACCTCCAACTCATATGCTAAAACGAAAACCCAATCAAATCGCACAACCAACAGCTAATAACGATAATGCACTCATCTGAAAACAAAAACCAACATGATAACAATGCCGATCATCAAATCTCATCACGACGAACATACTAAATTTTCACCGATATAAATAAATAAAAGTTGCTCGTAGCACTGAACAAATTTTTCCCTTCTTCTTCGAAACATTACAAATCGATGTACAAAATAAAACTACAAATTTTCCTTCCTTCTTTTAGATATACTTCATTTTACATGACATCTACAAACGACAACATCTAACTATTAAACAAGTCGGTAACAGAACCCTCTGCCACAAACTATTTCAACAAACTACCACTCAAAACAATTAACAGAGGATGTACGAAAACTCTAAAACTTAAACACGACTATTTCATCATCACCTGATCACATCAACTACACCATCAAAGCTAAATCGCATCGTAAGTATGCTTGGTCTCTACAAAATTCAATTCTACATACACCTGGTTTTAAATTATCTGCGATTTCTAATAATTATTCTACTTTCTTACCTTCTTGACCGCTAAAGAACTATTGGTGGTCATCTTTCAAAAAATTTTGTTCGACGTTTGCTGACAATTTTCTTGCTAAGTTTTCATAGCATTTTGACTGTTTCGAAACATGATCGATATGCAGTTTATATAGATACCAAACTTACCTGAAGATGATCCTTAAGCAAGATCGAAACCGGTCGTAAATATCGCTTGTGTATCTAAATAAAATCTTGAGCTTTTATACACACCAAATAATTCTCGGAATTTCTTTCTGCGAATTATTGGCTGCGACCTCAAATAGCACATCTCAACTTTCTTTTCCTCTGAAAATTTAGTTGAATTTGAACTATTTGTGATCCTAGTTCAACAAAATTTGATGGCTGTTTGTTGAGAGTTTTTGATTCTCGAAAACTCTTATAGAACTACCACTATTTTGAATTTCGATCGAGATGCAGCTAAATTTAGATACCAAACTTACCTGATGATGATCCTTAAGCAAGATCGAAACCGGTCGTAATTATCGCTTGTGTATCTAAATAAAATCTTGAGCTTTTATACACACCCACACCCTTGCCATCTGTCGAGTCCCTTAAGCAAGGACGAAACACGTGTCATGGCTGCTTGCCACACAACTATAAATAGAATCTATCATTCCTTTGAAAAATTCTTCATTGGAACAGTATATGATCAGTACTTAGGATTATTTAATTCTATAGTACTGTTTGCCATCTGTCGAGTCCCTTAAGCAAGGACGAAACACGTGTCATGGCTGCTTGCCACACCCACACCCACTACTATAATGAACATTCAAAAAATAAACTAGCATATAGTCATTCTATAAAATCCCTCCAACCTATCTACCATATACTTACATTGTTTTCTTTTTCTCATTCTAGATATGAACCTCTTCAAAACTAAAACAATCATATTGAAAATTTAATTATCGCAAAAGTGAAATACTCTTAATTGTATTGTGGTAGCTTGTCTCACCCGTTAAGGCGTTGTAGATCTCTACTTTCGAGTAGATTTCTATTTATATTTTGTATTAGATTAGTTCTTTATTGAATTGATCTTCAGATACTCGGTATATGCCACTTGATAATCTTAATTATCGCAAAAGTGAAATACTCTTAATTGTATTGTGGTAGCTTGTCTCACCCTCAAGATAAAAAACGAGTGTATATATACGAACATGAAAACAAAGACAAAAGTAGAGAGACTCGTAAGGGTTAATCGAGGACAAAGAAAAGAAGTAAATCGAAGTGAGTACATGATATAGAAGATATTAGAAGAACAAAGGAAAAATCGAAGAAAGGAGAATAGAAATGATCAAGGTATACATTATAGCAATATACTATAACACTCCACATTCTTGCAATGACCATCACCACAATTTTATTGGTTACGTTTGTATTCAACTATTTCGGCTACACTAATACAAAGGTTTTCAATTTAAAACAATGTCGATATTTAGACGGTCATTGAGTGGTCAGAATGATTTGATGTTCAACTATTTTACTCTGTTAAAAAGAAAGATTTACCATTTTTAACACTGCCGAAGAATTATATTTCAACCGAACGGTCATAACAATGTCGCTATTCAAGTATTTTGGGAATCATACACCGAACCCTTCCCTTTGGTACTAAAACCGTGGGTCAATTGATAAGCGAATCGCAAAGTTAGGCTTCGATTTAATTAACTTGCTTGTCTAACGGAAGAGCAGAAGTGAAACCATGATTAAATGCCATCACAAAGGACATGAATGGCTATAACAATAGTTTTGTTCAAGCATCGTATTCAGTATAAAACAAGATATCAGGTTGATGGCAAGGTTGAATGTCATAGAAGGGCAAATGAATGGCCATAAGGAAAGTTTTGTTCAACTATTTTGCCTACTCTAAATCAAAACTTTTAGATTCTACTGCTGCTTGAAGATTGCATAGGAGTCATTCGGAAATTATTTTATCACTTTTTCAACCATTTCGACTTTCTCCTCTCTCCTGTCATCAAGCGAAAACTCTCTCCCTTGATGACGTCATTTCGCGTTGATCGTCTTCTTTCTAAGTTCCAATTTGTTTTCGAAGAAGCTTACTTTTGTCACTATTTTGTTGGGAAAATTGTATTATCTCTAGATAGTAAATGGTCGATTTTTTGGTTGATTCTGCCCACGATGGGCTGTATCAGCTATTTAGCAACAGCTACCCTAACCTACCCGATGTGATTCGATTTTCATTTCACACAGCGAATTGGACCTGAAAAATACAAATTCGTCTTTCTATCCGTTTTCATAAGAAACAAATAAGAGATGAAACGGCTGTTGTACTCTAGCATGGAAATCTTCCAATATGTTTCTTTCAACTTCCTTCTAAAATCATGCAATTGAGACTTAATTCAGTTTATTTTGAGTTTCAAAATCTAACCGAACTCAAGCAGCGAGCAACACAGATTTTAGATACCTATCTAAAATCAATATGTATATTCTTGATTAGGTGTCCAATAGTTATAAATAAGCTCCGATTGCAGATATTTGATAGGTCTTTTGGAAAAAACTGAATCTTACATACCATTCGATTTCAATAACTAAATTTCTAGAAGAAAACTTCTTTTTCAAATGAACAAAGAAAAGATTCTGAAAGCAATCTCTTTTCATGAATGAGGCCGTCAACTGACAGTTATTTTAATATTATGCCTAAACAATTAGGTTTGAGCGCAATGCTTAGCGTATGCGCTCAAAAACGATAGTGCGCACACACATCGAAATGAAATTAAGGAAGATGATGTTGCACAGACTTGTGAACGTCAATACAGGTTGCAAATGAAGAGAGAAAGAAACAAATGAGTCATTCAGACTTTTATGAAATAAGAGATCTTAAAGCAGAAATTGTATGTCTACCAGCCATGGAGAAATTCTTTGAATAAAATCTTAGTTTTCAGCGATTTGAATAAAAGGTCTGATTTCCATGGTATATTCCGCTCGCTTGAAACCATAATGTAGATAAACCACGGTTGTTTCTTATTGAGTCACGGTGTTTTCACATCGCGGTTAGCCTAAGTGGAACCGACAGTTTGTCCAAGCTCCGTTTCTTTCTTTGAAATTCGATCTTCTTACCTTTGAATTCCTAGTAGCTACCACGTGTTTTCCATTTCAAGACTAAACTAATACTATATTTGATCGAAACTCGATCGCGGCTTGTATCAGACAAGTGGATAAGGATTACTGTGATTTTCACTGATACCACTATCGCGGTTGAACTTCTGACACCGCGGTCTCAAGAAATCTCGAAACTCATCGATTTTCTAAATCCCGATTAAAATCGTAACAAACAGCGGGCACACCTATATGTGATCCAAAAAACTTTCCGTGCATCGTTTACGAATATAATTTGTTCCTTTCTTTGCTCCTTTATCTATAAAATATATTCGACACTATAACAATCTATTTGCTGATGCCTTGCTTACGATACGGCTATTTCTTTGCTCGTTCCGTCAATGACATCTAATTGGTTCGGAGTTAGTCTTTTTGCTGCCTGCATCGGTGAGCCGATCGTTGCTGCTTTCGTATGTGTGCTATTTTTTTTGAATGATACCGAGGTTTACTATAGAGAACCCACGATTTACAACGATTTTTTTCGGTGTAATTTTTTCTTAAGAGACTGCGGTTTGAAAGAAGTTTGGTTTAGAAACCGTTGGAACGCCCAATGTAAACGAGCTGAGGTTAAAATCGTCATGAACATGTTTTGGGAATCTCTAAATATAGCGATTTAGGCAGATCGCGGTTTACGTGGAGTGTACTGCAGCGCCTGCACGATTCGACCCACGGCGAGACCGAGCGGGTCCAGCTGCTTGACCTCGCGGCAGCAACACTGTTACCTTCTAGGTAGAGCCGGGACCGGGCATTGCGCATCTTTTTTCCTACAACGCTTTTGGTCTACCATGCTCTGTCTAGATGAGGCGCGTGGTCAGGTTTTTTTAAAATACTCTTTCATTTCTGCTGAGCTCCCATCAGAAAATGAAAGTTGCATATTTAATACCTCAGTCAAAAAAAATCGAAAAAACGAAAAAAATCCGGATCATACGTAACTTGATGAGCTTTACAACATATATGAAAAAATCAGGAAGTGAAGGCCTCTTAACTGCCTTCTGGATCGGTATAAAAGATATCAATGCCTGAGGAGATATGATTGTGATCGATTGACTGACCTCACGTAGACAAAGACAAAAATGTTAAGAGAAAAGAAGAAGATCAAACGCAGTTAAATATCCATCTCGGCCAATGAAGCTCAAATGGAGAA